CGTTGAAAATCGCGATGATGCTCAGAAGTCTCCCGGACTCGTACAGTAGCCTGGTGACGGCTCTCGAAAGCCGACCGGAGGCTGACTTAACAATGCCGTTTGTTAAGCAAAAGTTGTTGGATGAGTACCAACGAAGATCGGAAAGAAGTGCAGATTCGGGAGAAAAAGTGATGAAAACGCAATTCAAGGGACAAAAGAAGAAAGTGTGTTACCACTGCCAGAAACCTGGACATTTCCGGAAGGATTGCCGATTGTTGCAACAGTAGCAGTCGAAGAAGAGCGAAGAAGTTTTGAAAAGTGGCAAGCAGCAAAAGAAGAAAAGTGATGCAAAGCAGGTCGCAGAGAGTGATACTCAGTTGTATTTCACGGCAGCAAGCGTCCGGCATCGGAGTTGCTGGTATATCGACAGCGGCTGCTCAAGCCACATGTCCAATGACCGTTCGTTCTTTGTGAAACTGGATACAGACGTGAGAGTGGACAAAATGCGATGGAATCGGTGAAGGATTTGTTAACTGTGTGAGTGGTGATGGACAAGTGAAGAAGATCCTCTTCAAGGACGTAATGTACATTCCAAAGCTGGACAGTGCTTTATTGTCGGTACGGAAGCTGACTCAAAAGGGTTTCCAAGTGAACTTTTCTGGACCCTGCTGTGACATAGTGAGTGCGAGTGGTGAAAAAGTGGCTCTAGGTGAGTTGTACGGGAATCTGTTCGTTTTGAAGACGGTGGAATACGTGAAGCTTAGTAAGGAGATTCGACACCTGCCGAACTGCCAACATACATGGCATCGGCGGTTTGGTCACCGTGATCCGGCGGCCGTTGAGCGGATTAAAAAGGAGGAACTCGGCATTGGATTGCAGTTGCAGGACTGCGGTTTGAGACAAGTACATGAACACTGTCTCGCAGGTAAATCCTCTCGTATTCAATTTCCCCAAGCCTCGCAGAACAGAGCCACCAGCATTCTTGAGCTGATCCATACGGACGTTTGTGGACCCATGTCCACAGTGACGCCCGGCGGTGTCCGATATTTAATGACTTTGATCGACGACTACAGTCGATACACGGTCGTGTGCTTGCTTCGACACAAGTCTGACGCTGCTGGATACATCAAGCGGTTTGTAGCCCAAGCGAAGACAAAATTTGGTAAGACACCTTGCGTTATCCGTTCTGATGGGGGAGGGGAGTATGTCAACTCGGAGCTCAAGACATTCTACGATCAAGAAGGTATCAAATCTCAATTAACAGCGGCATACTCCCCACAACAGAATGGCGTCGCCGAACGGAAGAACCGTTCGCTCCAGGAGATGGCGACGTGCATGCTCGCTGATGCAGGACTTGCTAAACGATTTTGGGGTGAGGCAGTAGTAACTGCTGCTTACCTTCAGAATAGGCTTCCCTCTCGTTCGATTGACAAAACGCCTTTTGAAATGTGGTTTGGTAACAAACCCACTCTAAGCCATTTGCGGGTGTTTGGGAGCACTGCCTATGTGCATATCCCAGATTTAAAGAGGGTAAAATTGGATACCAAGGCTGAGAAACTCGTATTCGTGGGCTACTGTGAAGATCGCAAAGCATACCGTTTCCTCAATCCAGCGAAGAATACAATAGTAATCAGTCGTGACGCTCGGTTCATTGAGTTAGGCAATGGCTCGCTCATGGAGGCATCTGACGATGATCCAGTCTTTGAAAGTATTGGTGATGATTCCTGGTTCAAATCACAAGACGAAGAAGCTGCAGCTCAGGAGGAGAACAGCAGAGAAGTACCATTGGATGACGTGATTGATTCCGGTGATGAGTACTACGGATTTGAGGAAGCAGAAGCGGTAGCTGAGGAAGCGAATGTCGAGCAAGACGAGGCATCGGAGCAAGGCAGTTCACGGGAGCAAAGGAGTACCAGAGGTATCCTACCTGCAAGATTGCGAGATTACGTTGTGAACATTGCGAAAGTGATCGAAGAGGAGCCGATTTGCTACGAGGAAGCCGTTCGTGGACCAGAGCAAGATTTGTGGAAAGCAGCTATGAGAGAGGAGTATGATTCGCTTATGGACAACAGTACCTGGAGTCTCGTGGAGTTACCCAACGGCCGTAAGCCCATCGGTAAGGAGGACGAACCAGTGAACTAACTAACGAGGAGGACGAACCAGACGAACTAACCCATCTGGTGGATGATGGCACAAGCTTCCAAGAAAATTCTATTACAGTGAACCACATTATTTAAATGGATTTCTTCGCCAGTAAGTCGTCTGTCACTTCGTTTGTGCTTATATATTCCATAAGACAAACCACATAGGTCCTATAAGAATACATAAACGATATGTGTGACCATTTATACATTTCATTTGACACATGCTCTTCATTACTGTTTTGCTTATTAGTTGACTTATACATTTTTTGAATAATCAGTAATAGAAATTTTTCCAAAAGGTTTATGGGGATTTCTATCCGTGTAGGAAGGTTAAATTGGTTTTTTCGCCAATTTAAGTTGTCAAATTTACCCGTTTTCTGACAACTGCATATTGTCGGTAAAGTTGGGCACCGAAAAACCGCACACGCTACATTTGAATTTATTTTCGTTCTTTATGTTAAAAACGTCGAATATAGTGCGCATTATAGCGCATCATGTCCGACACTTTGATTAACATACAAAACAAGAGTAAAATGGATTGTCGCGTGTGGGTTTTCCGGTATTCAGCTGTACCGATAATACTAGATTTAAAAATGGGTATTTTTCTACCCATTAATGGATTTTTGCCAAACACCGTGCATAGGAGTAAAGGAGCAAAAGCACGGCTGTCACCATGGTGGGTATATAAATGGTGATACAGCTTTGTCACTATATAGGCGAGGAGGTCGCGGGGGGAAAAGTGCGGTTTTAGAGCAAATTGTAAACAAACTCGGTCGCTGTCCCATACAAAAATCCAACATGGCTGAATCATGAATTTGACACATTATAACACCTATATGTAGCCACCTTGGCTGTCACTACAAAATCGAGCAAAACAGTGCATTTTGATAGTTCAATTGTAACAAGTTTTGACAGACGTCCAGTGAGAAAATCGGTTCAACGATAATCTCGATAAAAATCAGATCATAATCGCCCATAACTAAGGCTCTAAACCATGGATTATTTTGAATTTTGGTTAAAATTTGATAAAATTGAAATTTATCGATTAACTCTGCTATGCGAGCGTGGTTACTTCTGATAGACAAGAAATTAAATTTTGACAACCTTGGCTAAGGCTGTGAATTTAACTCGTGGTTAAAAGTGACATATCGAAAGTTATTTTTATGTTCGAAATACCATTATACGAAAAACACAATTTAAGAAGATGGGTAAAAAAACACCCATTTATTGACAGATACCCCATTTACCCATTAATGAGTAAACCATAGTTTACCCATTAAATGAGGAGGGGCACTTTTAGCGGAAATGGGTGTTTTTATACCCATTAATGGGTTTTCGCGAAACACCGTGTGGAACACAGCCTATAAGTTCTTCTCGAAAACCGGTCGATCGACAGCACACATGAAATAAAAAAATTACCCAAATTAGAGTTCTTTTGACTCAACCTCGAAGTTCCGTACGAGAAGCTAATTTTGGGTCAACACGAAAAAACCTAATTTTGGGTAAATGATCGAAAAGACTGCAGTGGGTCAATTTGCTCAATAAGGAAAAACCTAATTTTGGGTAAATTTAACTTAACGATAGGTTATTTTAATGGGCATTTTTTTCGAATAAAAAATCTAGGGTCAAATTAACCATGGATTATTTTACCGCTTTTTTTTTTAGAAACAACCTATTTTTGGGTAAAATTACCCCAACAATAGGTTATTTTACCAAGCACTTTTTTCCGGAGTACAAATGATTGAAGGAAAGGGACGATCGCAGTATAAAGAGTACGTAATTATTCCGGATGTTAAAAATAAAGAACAATAAAAACTGAGAACATATTTATTATAATTCAAAATCAGCCAGATGGAACAAACGATAACCTGGCAAAACTTCTTCTCGTTAGCTGAACGCTAGTACTGCAAGTAGCATCTGAAGAAAAGAATACAGGGGAAACAAAATTATTTATATGTGCTAGCGCTTCGGATTCATAAGTCACCAGATTACGTCGGTGTATGGTAATACACTTCGAATTCGGAATCGAACTACATATGGTGTCGATGGAATGGAACAGCCACAGGAAACTTCCCTAAGAATCCAGATGGAACGAAAAAATAAAGATTTACCTCTCGTAGGGCACTTTTACCATCTTCTACTGCTGCTTCTAATAGGATGAATAACCACTCGCGTTTTATGTAATGAATCTACGGCTTACGGGGGAATCACGGACGTCGCACGCAAATGAACTTATAGCGAATTCGTTTATTATCGGGGTTGGAACCAGTTCCAACCCGTGCGAACCCGAACTTTTTGTCAGTGCGAACCTCGACCCGTGCCAGGTTTTAAAAACAAATGATAAAACTGACGTTTGCTGGAAAACAAGCAGACCCAATCTTGATACCCGATCCAGGTTGGAACTGAATAATAAACGAATTCGCTATTAATTTCATGCACTGGCATTTTTTTCATCCAACTCAGAGTTATTTTCACTCAACGCAAGCTTTATGGTAAGTTACTCAGCGTTGAGTAAATTAAGTAAATTTCCATTTTTTACTCATCTTTGGGTAATATATGTATTACTCAAGCGTTGAGTTAAAATTTACCATCATAACACATTCATTCTTACCCAATGGGATAAATGGTTTTACTTAATTTTGGGTTGTTTAAACTCAAGCTTTGGGTAATTTTCATTTTCTGTGAGAAAATAACTTTCGAAATGTCACTTTTAACCACGAGTTAAATTTAACTCGGCAAATGGTTCACAGTAAAGCCCTACAGTAAAAGTATGGACGTCTGTCAAAAGTTGTTCCAATCGAACCGTCAAAATGCACCGCTTTGCTCGATTGGAACAGCTTTTTCAGTTTTGTGGTGACAGTCGTCCATACTTTTACTGTAGGGCTTTAGTTCACAGGGGTTCACAGCCTAAACTGAAGAAAACAGTTAAGGCTGTGAACCATTTGCCGAGTTAAATTTAACTCGTGGTTAAAAGTGACATTTCGAAAGTTATTTCTTATGTTCGAAAATCCCCGTGCTGTCGATCGACCGGTTTTCGAGCCACGGTCGTCAAAATTTAACTTCTTGTCTGTCAGAAGTAACCACGCTCGGATAGCAGGGTTAATCGATAACTTTTCATCTGTCAAATTTTAACCAAAAGTTAAAATAATCCACCAAATGGTTCAGAGCCTAAGTATAATATTTATTGTTGATTTTTGATACAAAGTATTTGATCAGGAATGCTCATCAAAGAATATCGAATTTGTATGCCATTAACAGTAGAAGAGGTTGGTGTCTATAATTTGTGTACGGATTAACTAATTGATTATTTTTATCTTCTTCAGTACAAAATTGGGCAGCTGTATATGATTGCACGGCACAGTCTCGAGCAATCAGATGTAGGAAACGGTGTGGAGGTAATCGAGAACAAAGAATGTTATGATGAAGAGCATGGTAAGGGGCAGTACACGGAGAAAAGAATTCATTTGTCTAGGTGAGGTATTCCTGCTTCATTGAAAATAGAACGCACCAGCTCTTACGAATCACGACAAAAAAATCGTCAATATTTATGGTGGTGACCAGCGTTGCCAGGTTACCAGATTTATCTGGCACAGCCAGAGAAATTTAACCTCTGCCAGACAGATTTTTGGGAAATCTGGCGAATTATCTATATGTTACTTTATTGATGAATCTACGCGAAACTGCACCAGTGCATGCGACACCTAGGTTCTAAATCCAAAACCACAAAAGTGATGATGTACTAAAAAATATTCCATACGATTTGACAGGTAGCAAAACGTCATTTTCATTTTATCATCATTTCCATCTGCTGGTCGACCTTAACGTAGATTCATCAATTGGCGTTGACGGCACCGTCGAAAAATTTGCTCTTCCAGCAAATTTAGATAGTTTCTTATGGGAATTTTCGGTGAAGTGAAAGGATAGTACAAAGTCCGCCATGTTTCACGCACAGTCTGACGTTTGCTTATGGATTTTCTCATAGGAGTAAAGAGCTACAGAGTCGCCGTCAACGCCAATTGTGCCAGATTTGTGTTCGTGGTCTGTCAGATTTTTTGAAAATAAACCTGCTATCCCTTGGCGACGCAGTTTTCGTGTTTGTTCGGACGCATTATTATTGCAATCACTAAAAAGTTTTTCACATCTAAATAGCATAAAAGTCACGCTAAATCGCAACTCACCTGACCGACGCGCATAGCTTGGTAAACCAAATTTCTTAAATTTTGTTCGGTTTTTTTTTGCTGCAATAGATCAGTGCACGAAGATTTGCCGCACTCTTCCCTCTCCCGTAAATTTTGACAGTTTTGGGTGGTTTGTTTTGGCTCCCATTCGTTGCCATCTCTTTTACTCACAGACAAAATGATAGGAAGCAAAAAGTGAGGTTAGGGACCGTGCACTGATCTATCGTTCTGTAAAATATATTTTTTACCGAAAGTTTTGTAGAATGTGTTCTTTAACTATTTGTTTTATATTACTTCTGCGTGAAGTCAACTATTTACATAATTAAAGATGCTAATTTAAATAACAGAGTATAGTGTCATTCCGCATCGAACGTTCGACTGTTTCGGTCTAGTGTTGCTTGCACTCCGTTATCAGTACTAGTTTTTTTTCCCTATTGAGGTTTTTTTCAATCCGCTTTCACACTGAGTGGTGTTATAGTATACACAAGTGTAGTGAGCATCGCGGAATTGCATTTGCCGCACAACCGTTCGAGAAAGGTAGCAGTCATTTCCGGCCGAGTCCGGCAGATGAGCTGTTCATCTTTAGCCAACAAATTTCATCGCATCACGCCACTGCAACATCAAGGTCATCGAGTTCACCAGCCGGCGAGCCAGCCGGTGCTTTGTTGAAAACACTCGAGGGAAACAATAGAACGATCATCATCATCATCCTCACATCAGTAGATCATCGTCATCAGCCATACTCCGTGCGTTTGTGTGGAGAGTTAAGTAACAAACGGTTATCTTCCGTTCTCCGCAACCTGATTAATCTCCATACAGCGTTGATTAACTTTTCTGACACCTTTTTGATTTTTTTCCTGAAAAAGTTTTCCTTTTTTTTTCTTTATCACTTCGGTTTTTTTTTGCTATCTGATTAATCTCCTTATAGTGTTGATTAACTTTTCTGACACCTTTTTGTTTTTCCTGAAAAGGTTTTCATTTTTTTTTCACTTACTGGTTTTTTGCAGTCTGATTAATCTCCCTATAGTGTTGATTAACTTTCCTGGCACATTTTTTTTGCTTTGTTGGATTAAGTATTATTTTTACCGTTATATTTCTGGATAAGTTTTTTTTTCTAATATATATATATATATTTTTTTTATTATTATTTTATTTTTTATTTTTTTTTTGTTTTTTTTACGCATATTTTTTTTTCTTGTTTATGTCGAAATCTGTTGCGGAGGTACTTAAGACCCCGCAATGGATGAAACAAATGATGGCGGGGGTATTTCGCTAGCAGATATCTCCGATGATGAGTCTGTTGAATCTCCATCATTCGAAAATCTGCTTCTCACTGAAGAGAAAATGGATACCTCAGGGGACTCTACTTCGGACCCCAAAACGAGCACTGGAGCTTACCCAAAGGTGATGTCTAAACAACAGCCTCCTGCACCCCCTGCCCCCTCTTCACCACCATCGCCCCCTCGTCCACCTGTTCCTCCTACTCCAACCGTTCCCTTAAAAATTTCTGCGACCCCCCGCCATAAAGCTTACCCAAGCGGCCGTGGGTTGTTTTTTTCCGGCCCAAACAAAAACCTTTGAATATTTCTCGGATTTCGAAGCATCTGACAAAACATTTTTCGGCCGTAACCGATATATTTAAGGTGACGCCAAACAAACTGCGCGTTACCGTTGATGACCTGAAACAGGCAAACCGGATTGTTGCCTATGAGCTCTTTACGATGGAATATCGAGTCTACATCCCCAGTTGCGACGTAGAAATCGAAGGAGTGGTCACCGAAGCGAGTCTAACTTGCGAAGATTTCCTTCATGCCGAATCCTTCGGTATTTTTAAAAACCGTGCCCTTCCGAAAGTGAAGATTCTGGATTGCATCCAAATGCAATCAGTGTCTCTCACTGGCACGAAAAAAACGTATTCTCTGTCAGACTCGTTCCGTGTGACCTTTTCAGGATCGGCGCTACCTGACTACGTCGTAATTGGGAAGGTTCGACTGCCTGTACGCTTGTTTGTACCGCGGGTAATGAACTGCTCAAAATGCAAGCAACTTGGTCACACCGCTGACTTCTGCTCCAACAAACCGAGCTGCGATCAATGCGGCGAGCTGCATGCAGATGGTCCTTGCCGGGCTACCCCAAAATGTGTTTACTGCAAGGATACTCTGCATGCTTTGGTTGATTGCCCGAAGTACAAACAGCAGGGAGAAAAACTTAAGCGGTCTTTACAAGCTCGCTCCAAGAGGTCACTTGCAGAACTCTTAAAAAACACCGCCTCATCTTCCCAAACCACCCCAAAAACCAAAAACACATACTCCATTTTGCCAGATGATGATCAGGGCTCTGACTCAGAGGTTGGTGAAGGTAGTCCCTTTGTCTTTAAAGGCAACACGAGAAAGCGATTAAAAAAAAACGTCACTCAAAATCCGCGTAAGATCTCTCGTATGGACTCCCAACCTACCTTGACAAATTTAAGAGGTAGCGGAAATGTACCGAAACCCCCACCACCGGGATTTAAATCTCGTAATTTTAACAAGGACTTTCCGCCACTTCCGGGATCATCTAAAACCCCAGATATCCCAGTTTTTCAGCCAGAAAAACAGCTGAATAATCAGCAAGAACATGATGCCATGTTCACGTTTTCTGGAATTGTGGAGAGCATCTTCAATATATTCAACGTCTCTGACTCAACTCGGAACATTATTGATTTAGTGCTTCCATTCGTGAAAACTCTTTTGAAGCAACTAGCTTCTAGGTGGTCCTTCCTTGCATCGATCATATCCTTTGATGGATAATTTTCCGAATGAGGTCGGGGATATGATCTCTGCTCTTCAGTGGAACTGTAGAAGTCTTATACCGAAACTTGACACATTCAAATTTTTAGTTCACAACTCACTTTGTGATGCATTTGCTCACCGATCTCCCTTTCCACGATTTTAACATTATTCGCCTTGATCGAGCAGATTCGTATGGAGGGGTGCTTCTCGGGATTAATAAGCTCCATTCCTTTCATAGAATCGATCTGCCTTTCGTGACAGGCATTGAAGTTGTCGCATGTCAGGTAAATATTCGAGGTAAAAGCCTCAGTATTGCCTCAGTATATCTTCCTCCAAGAACTGCGATTTCTCGCCAAGGTCTCTCAGATATCTGCTCAGCTTTATCTGAGCCTCGGTTGATCTTAGGAGATTTTAACTCCCACGGTACAGGCTGGGGGGAACTGTACGATGACAACCGCTCAACCCTGATATACGACCTTTGCGATAACTTCAATATGACAATTCTAAACACTGGGGAAGTAACACGAGTGGCCAAACCTCCAGCAAGAGAAAGTAGATTAGACCTCTCCCTCAGTTCGAGTTCACTATCGTTGGATTGCTCGTGGAAAGTAATGCAAGATCCCTACGGTAGTGACCACTTGCCAATCAAAATTTCTATTACCAATGGTTCATCTTCCACTCGCTCGGTTGACATCGCGTACGACCTCACGAAAAACATCGACTGGCAAAAATTTGCGTCCGCGGTTCTCGGTGGTACTTATTCGGTTGAGATACTCCCTCCGCTGGATGAGTACTCCTTTTTATCGCGACTTATCGTTGACTGCGCTCTTCAAGCACAGACGAAACGCGTTCCGGGTGTTTTCGTTCGCAAACGACCTCTTACTCCGTGGTGGGATAAGGATTGCACCGACGCGAACACAAGAAGTCCGCCGCGTTTAAACGCTTCCGCAAACACGGTAAGGTCGAGGATTTCGAGCGGTACACCGACCTCGAGAAAACTTTTAAGGGCTTGATTAAAGCCAAAAAACGCGGTTACTGGCGTCGGTTCGTCGATGGTTTGTCGAGAGAGACTTCCATGAGAACACTCTGGAATGCCGGCAGGAGAATGCGAAACGCGTCATCACCGGTCAACGAAGACAAGGAGTACTCAGACAGTTGGATATTCAGCTTCGCGCAGAAAGTTTGCCCGGATTCGGTGTCGGTTCAAACCAACGTTCGTGATAGTCCGTCGGGTAGTAACGAAATAGATTCTCCGTTTTCGATGGTGGAATTCTCACTTGCTCTCCTCTCATGTAACAACTCAGCTCCAGGAATGGATAGAATCAAGTTCAACTTGCTCAAAAATCTCCCAGACGTCGCGAAGAGACGCTTGTTGAACTTATTCAATCAATTTCTGGAGCACAACATTGTTCCGGATGATTGGAGGCAAGTAAGAGTTATCTCCATTCGAAAACCCGGTAAACCCGCGTCGGATTATAACTCGTACCGTCCCATCGCGATGCTGTCCTGTATACGGAAATTGTTGGTGAAAATGATTCTTTTTCGTCTAGACAAATGGGTCGAGTCGAATGGTTTACTTTCAGATACGCAATTTGGATTTCGGAGAGGCAAAGGAACGAGCGACTGTCTTGCGTTGCTTTCAACTGAAATTCAACTGGCCTATGCGCAAAAACAGCAAATGGGTTCAATTTTCTTGGACATTAAGGGGGCTTTTGATTCTGTTTGTATCGATGTCCTTTCGGATAAACTCCACGATAGTGGGCTTTCACCAATTATGAACAACTATTTGAGCAACTTGTTGTCTGAGAAATATATGAGCTTTTCTCATGGAAACTCGACAACTTCACGAATTAGTTACATGGGTCTCCCCCAGGGCTCATGTTTAAGCCCCCTTCTTTATATTTTTTACGTAAAAGACATTGATGGTTGTCTTGATGAAAATTGCTCGCTAAGGCAGCTTGCAGATGACGGCGTTGTGTCCGTTATAGGGCCAAGTGCACCGGACCTGCAAGGACCATTGCAAGATACCTTAGACAATTTGTCTACTTGGGCTATGAAGCTGGGTATCGAATTCTCTCCGGAGAAAACTGAGTTGGTTGTTTTTTCTAGGAAGCATCATCCTGCACAGTTACAGCTTCAACTAAAGGGTAGAACAATCACTCACAAACATATCTTACAAGTATTTAGGTGTCTGGTTCGATTCCAAATGCACATGGGGAAAACATATTGCGTATCTAAAACAAAAATGCCAACAAAGAATCAATTTTCTTCGTACAATTACCGAAACTTGGTGGGGAGCACACCCGGTAGATCTTATCAGGTTGTACCGAACAACCATCCTTTCGGTTTTAGAGTACGGCAGCTTTTGCTTCCAATCCGCAGCAAAAACACACATTCTTAAGCTGCAACGGATTCAATACCGTTGCCTTCGTATTGCGCTAGGCTGCATGCACTCGACTCATACGATGAGCCTCGAAGTACTCGCGGGTGTTCTCCCACTGACAGATCGTTTCGCTGAGCTGTCTTTCCGGTTCCTCATCCGTTGTGAAGTATTGAATCCTTTGGGAATAGAACACTTTGAGAAGCTGCTCGACCAAAATCCTCAAACAAGATTCATGAGTTTGTACTATGAGTACATGACGCTGGAGGTTGGTCCTTCTTCATTAAT